ATGACTCAGGAAGATACAAACCAAAGCATCTCTGTTCCCTCAGCCTTATGCACAGACGAGAATCTTCGTCTGTAGATCAGATGCTGGCTTCAGCCCTAGCTGTCAGGTCCTCCTGCCTCCTGTCGGATGGAAGGCTCTATCTCAGTCTTTTTCTTAGTTGGAAGTAAAGAAAGCAAGCTGCTGAAGAAACCGCTTCTCTGACGAAGCATCTAAAGATTCATCCTGACTTTACAGCTCAGTGTACGTCACAGCCTCCAAGTCAAACACTGGCTAAGCTGTCCCACACATAAGGAACTGTGTCAGAGATGCTGGGTACTGTGGTTAACGCCATGCAGCCAGAGAGCTCCTGGGACCCTTGTGCTCTGAAGCCTAGGCCCACCCTCTTCCTTTCTCCTTACCGTCTTGCTGGCTTCCTTCCTTTTGTACTTTTAGACCAACTCCCTCACACAGAAAACCTGGAGAGGGAGGGGCTGGGAGAGCCAGTTAGAGACTATTTGGAAAGGGATAGCCTCGCAGCCTCGCACTTCCTGGGTCCGAGGAGATCTTGATGGGGTGCTCACCATGCTGTGGTATTAGAATTGCCACTGTGGTTGGGCGTGGGGTCTCTGGAATCTTTACCCCTGGGAGTAGCTGGCGGGGAACGCATTCCAAGTACCTGCACCCAGGAAGAGTAGAGTGGTAAGGTCAGTCTAATTAAGGCCAGACTGACTCTCCATGTTCGTCTGTCAGACTTGGGTCTGGCCTACCTAGTATAGTGGGAAGACGTGTTTGGGTTTTTTTGGTTTTTTTCCCCCTTCATGTTTGAACTGCATGAGGTTACACTGCCACCATGTGGATTGTCCAATGTGAACTTGGAAAAGAAAACTGTGGTCACTAAAGCAGTTTCAGGTACCCTGGAGGACTTGGGGCAGAGACAGAAAGAGAAACTCAGATTTTGAAAAGATGTCTTGATTTGTCGGGGAAAACCAAAGTCACGTTGATCAAAAAGACAAACGATGTTCGTGAGCACAACTTGGAGCCAAACAGACATCAGCTGAAACTTAGCAAATGAGTAGTTCTTTTTCCAGCCTCAGTTCCTTGTCTGTATAATGGGCACACTGACAGTTCCTCCAGGCAGCTGCTAGAACTGATAGGCAGTGTGGACACAGTGCTCTTGGCCTGCCATCTGGTGATTCTGGTTGTTGCCATGGAGCTGAGACAGGAGCTTCACAGCCTTACACAAAGCCTCAGTCCCTTACTAGGACTATCCCCATTTTCTCCGTGTCTTCTCCTTGGTTTGAGCCTTAACCAATTAACCTTAACCTTCACCTTTCCTGGCCCTTGAAATGTGAGCTTTGGAGCAATCCAACAGTGCATTTCAAATCTCATCTCCAATGTCATGTAGCTTTGTGGCCTTGGGGCATTTAAACCTCCTGAGTCATAGAGCTGTGTGTGGTGTCACAGGCCTGTTATCCCAGCATTTGGGACTTGGAGGCAAGAGGACAAGAGTTCAAGTATATCCTCCACTAGATAGCCAGTTAGAGGCCAGCATGGACTCATGAGACCCTGTCTCAAGAAAATGAAAATAGATGACAAAACAAAATTCTGAAGCCTGGTTTCCACATCTGGAAAATGGGGCTGATGACCCCTAGGTCTCCCGGATACAGGAGGAACTGGAGTTGATAGCGTCAAAGCTTCAGGGGCAGTGGCGGCCATGAGTCCATGGCAATCACTGTTATTGTCATGACTCACTACAGGACAGTACAAGTCCTCAGTCCTCACCTCGTCCTCCAACCAGAACCAAAACCTTTGAGCTCACCTCAGCATCCAAGACCTACTGAGTGACAGGAAGCAACTCTGTAGTCTGTTTATTTAAACCACTCAGAAAGCTGAGTTTCTGTGATTTTACCATATGTTTATCTTCTCAAGGCTAACAATGCAGCTATTCACAACTTACATCTCAGTGTTGCTAATATTAAAGTGTATTTTATCGTCAAGGCTAATACTCATGTATTTTTAGTTTATTGTACACATCTTCATCTTCCAAGACCCCAAAACCAGTGCCCTCTAATCACTGGAAATCTTGGAACTGATGACAGATTTAGAAGTGATGCAGATAAGAACTCACCACTATCAGTCCCCACAAACTCTGAAAGTCTAGATTCACAGTGACACCTGGGTGCTCCTCACCAGGCAGACTACTGCCAACTCTCACAACCACAGTGACCTTAGCTATATGCCGTAAAGTCTCCAGTTCTTGGGGGGGGGGGGGGATCCTCGGAATGTTTCATACAGCCTAGAGGGGAGAGCATGGGCTGTGAGCCTCCTCCACACCTAACCCCCCACTACCGTGGATTAATCACGTCACGGTCTCATAGCTACCTTCCCAGACTCTGCCACCAACCTGCTGCACTGTTTCCAGTAGGCTCTAAGTAGCCTTCTAACCAGTAAAGGGACCGCTGGCACCTCCCACACCTGCCCCTTTTCCTTGTCTCTCTCCTTAAACATCCCCCCCTCAGCCACTCGCCTCCTTTCTCTTTCCATTAAGATATAAAAAATGGTGAGCCCCCAGCACTGGAGTCTTGGTTAGGTTTAGCTATATAATCTCTAATAATATATGACTATACATGTATAATAAAGAGATGCATATATATATATATATATATATTTAGAGAGAGAGATCATCTCTTTCTTCCAAAACTATCTCATAGGATTTCCTTAAGTGACAGATTTTTCCAGGGCAAAAGGTCATTTAGGAGAGAAAACGGGAGTTGACAGATTACGGTATCTAAGACAAGCCGCAGCCCCACAAGGCTACAGTACTCACACCACTCATTCAACCCAAGGATATACACAGACTGCCCAGAGAGATGGGCCACAGAGCTATGGAACCTATGGGCAACCTACTGATGCCAACTATACTCAGGCTCAGACCACCGCCACCTACAGGCAGACTGGAGATACGACCTCTGCGGACAGCCTCCTGGAGCTTAATCTACTCAATGGCTCTCAGGCACACAGCCAGGCTGTCCAAGTAGTGTTTGTGACACCACCACTACTACTGTCACCACAACCCAGGCCTCCAAGGTGGCTTAGTCTGCATATGGTACCCAGCCTGCTTACCCAATGGACGAACAGAGGACAGCAGCCACCATACATGCAAGACCATAGGAGGTTAACAAGGCCACCAAGACTGGTCAACCCCAAACTATCACAGGGGGTAACAACCAGCCCAGCCTGGGATATGAGCAGAGTGTTATCCCCAGGCATCTAGGAACTACCCATACAGCCAGTCACCATACCTCCATCCTGTCTTCCTACCAGCTACTCCTCTTCACAGCTGACTAGTTATGATCAGAGCAGTCACCCTCAGCAGAGCACGAATGAGCAACCCAGCAGCCATGGATAGCAGAGTAGCTTCGGTCGACAAAGCAGCTATGGGTAGCAGCCTCCTGCTGGCTCACCCGCCCCCCCTCCTCCTCCTCCCCAGACTGGGTCGTAAAGCCTGGCTTCAAGTCAATATTGCCAACGAACAGCAGCCAAGCACAGCAGAGTTAATTCTGACAAGACCATCGCAGTAGTGTGGGTCTTTACAGGCAGATGTCTGGAGGGTGGATCAGAGCATGAGTGGCCCTGATAACTGAGGCAGGAGGGGAGGGGGATTTGATCATGGACCCATGACTAGGGATGGGCCAGGAGAGGACGCAGTGGACTGGAAATCAAAAGTGGTTGCAATAAGCCTGGTGGACCCGTGGATGAAGGCCCAGATCTGGATCCAGATGTGACTTGGAGAACGGTGCAATTTATGTGCAAGGATTAAGTGACAATGTGATGGGATGGTCTGGCTGACCTCTTTAAGCAGTGTGGGGTTGTGAACAAGAGAACTGGGCAACCCGTAGTCCACATCTGCCTGGATAGGGAAACAGGAAATCCTTCGCAGTGTTCTATGAAGATCCACCAACCGCCAGGGCTGCCTTCCGTAGAATGGCTTGATAGGAAAGATTTTCAAGGAAGCAAATTCAGTTTCTCTCCCCCCGCCCCCACCCCCCCGCAAAAAAGAGCCTCCCATGAATAGTATTTGAGGTGACATTCTACTGTGTGAGGACAGAGGGATGCCACTACCACCCCATGGAGGTCCTGGATGCTCAGGAGGTCCTGGAGGACCCATGAGTTACATTGGAGGCCAAAGAGGAGAGAGGGGGCTTCCTCACGAGAGGGTGCTTCCTCACGAGAGGGTCCCGAAGCTCCTTAGGGAATCGCTCTGGAGGAGGAAGAAATGAGGTGGAGACTGGCAATTTCCCAATCCAGGCTGTGGAAATCAGAGCTTCTTCACCTGGAGAACAGAATGCAACCAGTGAAAGCCCCTAAACTCAAGGGCTTCCTTCCCCAACCTTTCCCACCTCTGGGTGGTGACATTGGCCGAAGGTCCCTGGGAACAGTCAGAGAGGAAGAGATGGACTTGTGGACCAAAACTGTCCTGGAAGAAGGTTCAGAGGTGGCCAAAGTGGAGACAGAGGTGGCTTATGAGATGGCCGTGGCATGGACCAAGGTGGCTTTGGTAGGGATGATGAGGTGCTCCTGGGGCCCAAGGAGGGAGAAGAGGCGAATGTGGAGAACCTGGAAAAATGCCAAGTCGAACCCGGGCAGGAACCCAGAAACCAGCCCCACTAGATAGAGCTGCAGAGCTGCATTGATAGTCACGCACGTTTATGTTTATGTCAGAAAATGTTTTCAATTTCTAATTCCATATTTATAATGTTGGCCATACCTTGGCGGCTATACCTTATCTATACTTTATTATTTTCATATATTCATTTTCATGTATGTGTTGATCACTTGTGAAGAAGATTAAATGAAATGGTGGTGTGCCGAGGTTTCTCCCTTCTTTTGAGATGGCTGTGGAGGACCAGGAGGACCTCTAAATGTAACATGGTTGTAATTTTTAAATAAAATTCCAAATGTTTAAGAAAATATCATTTAATAAAAGACCCACGTTCATTTCAAACTCGCATATGGACGTGTATAATATATATGCAATTTATTCTTACATTGTACTTATGAAGATAGCTCTCCACTGAATGCATTAAATCTAATGAAATTATATTCCATAAACACATTCATGTGTCAGAGTCCTTAATGCATCTAACCATCACAGCCAGGCTCTGAAGTAAACACTGATGGGAATTTCTTTGGCAGGCAAGGAAATCCAGGCACAATATGGCAGACAGTTCATGGAGCTGGTGTAGAGACGCTGGCTTTGGCTCGGCTCGGCATGGCATCCCTAGGGTCTTCTACACCTTTGCCATCTGGGCCCAAGTGCGGATCAGAGGATCTGGGGACACAAATGTGCTTTGACTGATGGCTACAGCAATTAAGTGCCAGTACCCCACAGGCTCCTCACAACCACCACACCCATCACCCTGTCCCCACCACACTGTTCCCGTCACACCATCCCCATCACTGTCCTCACCACACTGTCCCCACCACACCCCATCACACTGTCTCTGCCATATTGTCCCCCAAACACTACATCTCCCATTTCACAAGCACAAGCACACAAGCAACAACCATGTCCAGTGTCAAGGCGAGCATCATTTTTCTTTCAGAGCCAGGCATGGTGGAGTGTGCCTATAACCCCAGAAGTCCTTGCGGGCCTGAGACAGGAGGGTCACAAGCTCAAGGCCTGCTTAAGCTTCATAGTGACACCTTATCTCAACAAAGCAGAAGTAACAATAATAATAAATTAATTAAAACCCAAATCATAAATTGACTTTTGCTTTTGAAAATAAAAAAAAAATTGAAAAATCCGAATTCACATCCTTTATTTTCAAGGCAGATCAGGGCCAGATCATGGGTGGACTCTTGTTTGTTTCGGTGAAGAAGTGTCCTCTGGGGCAACTCCCATGAGAAGACTGAAGGCTGAGTCATCCAGGGCCCAGCAGCTATATGATAATTCCCTTCCCTTATAACACAAGATAAAAATTGAAACTCCTGTGTCTTTAGTTACTCCATATCCCTGAAACAGATGACAAGCCATGAGCTCTATAAATTCAAGCAAGGGAGACAGTCGGCTCTCTCTCTGCCGCCTGCATCAACATCCAAGGACTCCCAGGACACCTGAGTCGGCAGCCCTGAGGCTGAACGCTAAAATTGCTCAACCTTGGATGGAGCAGGGAGCAGCACTTTCAGGGTCCCAGAGCTGGGAGCCTGCTCTGGTTGCTAATGAATGGGGACTTGTTGTCTGATTGCAAACAAGCTCAACATGGTTCATTCATTATCGTCAGAAAAAAAAAAAAAAAAAGGAAGAAGAAAGGACGTAATTCCCGAGGCCAACTTTGTAAAAATCCTCCTGGCCAATTTGTCTACAGAAAAACCAGCCAGTCATCACCTCTCGCCAGCACCTTCCCGGGTCCAGCCCTTGGCACCGAACATAACATGATCTTTGTCTCTGCTCTTAGAAGAGGTAACCTCAGTGCAGGGATAGCTAAGAAAGGTGGAGGAATGACTAACCGCTTCACTCCAGCCTACGCGGGCTGCTTCCCCTCAGCACAGCCACGGGCCAGCCAACAAGCTCCTTCTTCTAACTCTACCAAAGGAAAGCAAAGTCAGCCTGGACAGAGGGCCTTCGGGAGTGTTCTAGCAGCCAGGCTGAGCTCTGTCCTGTCTCAAAAGCTGATGGCTTTCTCTCCTCCCTACACCCCTCTCCTGGGGGTGTTTGTTCAGTGATAACTGCCAAACACCTGGGTGTAGGTGGCGCTTATTAAGACCCAGACGGAAATCATCAGACAGTTGTCCTTGGCTGACCTAAGGAAGGTCTGACAGACATGCAGGACTTGAAGACAAGCCTTTCAGAGACAATTACCAGGAGTGATCACAGCTGAACTATTATAGTAGGGTGTTGCCTCAGCTATCGGGTTTGAGCAAAATAAAGGCTGCAGAATTGGTTTGAGCCAAATGAAGATTTTTTTTCCAACAGATGCCACTGCTGGGAAATCATTAATTCAACTTGTGGGCCTGGCAAAAAGATCTCATTTCTATATTTCTACAACCCAAACATACATACATACATACATACATACATACATACATACATATGTGCGCACACACACAAATATATGTGTATATTGTAGGAGTCCACAGAGGTTTCCTAGTGAGATCTGAGATTGATTTACCCAGCAGGACTGCTTAAGGGGATGATTGGACCACAGGCGTGGTTACCAGGTATTTGGAAGGGTCTGAACTTGGCTGTGTCTAGCAAGGGGGAGGTCTTTGGCCCCACCCCTTGGCATTGCTATAAAAAGCCCTTTTGAAGAGGCAGAAGGAACCGCTGGGTTTTGGTCCAGGTCCTCCTGAAGCTATCCTGTGTTTCTGTCTTTCTCCTCTTTGCTGTCTTTCTATCTAAAATGTTTCTTATCTGTCTCTCCTTCTCATAGGAACCCTTTAAAAGGTGGAAACTGGCCTCCCACAGTATATATATAAAAAAAAATATATATTATATATTATATTTATGCATATTTGTATTTATAGATTATATAATTATCAGATAGTTAATTATATTATAATTATTGCACAATTGTATAAATATTCTCTTATATAATTGCATAATTAATGCATAATATGTGAATATTGTGTATATGTGTATATTCTTGGATATCCAGAGACAGGAAAACCAACAGATCTTAACTCTAAATAAGTGTAAACTCCCTGGCTGAGGAGTAGCTGGCCGGAGAGAGCTGCTGAAAGAATCATGTAAGGCTTGAGATGATAAAAATAGTAATCATTTATCTTCAAGGAACTGAGCTCTCTTCCTGGAGAAGAGACTCTTAGACGATAAATTAACTACCCTTCACATCTTTTAACCCCATTTCACTCTCTAAAAGCATCAAGAAGTTCAGCCAGCTTGTGACAGTACATATTTCACTTAGCTAACAAATAAGTATGGAGGGCCGATCGCATGCCAAGTATCCCACAGCCAAGAAAAGCTTAACCCAGTCTTGGTCTTCAGGCTCATGAGCCTTGCTTATTTTTCCTTGAGTAAATGATTCTGTTTCCTATTGTAGCCACTACCAAGATGATATTTTCTCCCTGGGAAAGAGTCTTTGTTTTATTGGCGTGTTTACATCGCACATTATCCTCAGAAAGGGTTCCACATGGCTTTATAGGAATGAAGGAAATGTAAGTTTGCAAAACATCCTTCAAATGATATAAAAATGATGGTAGGAAAAAGGGCCTCCTTCTAGAAGCAGCCAGAAGGAGCAGCTGCTTTAAAATGGGTTTTATGAGTGAGGCGTGGTGATCCTCAACTTTAATCCCATGCAGAGGCAAGTGGATCTCTGTGAGTTCCAGGAGACCCTGTCTCAAAACAACAAAAACAAAACAAAACAAATTAGTTTAGCTTTTTTTTCTTTTAAAAACATTTTTTGCTACATTTTTTATCTGTATATCAGGAGAGGGGAGTGTATGGCACAGTACACCTGTGTAGACTTGGGAAAGCCTATGGGAGTCCATTCTCTCCTTCTACATATGGATCAGGGCATCAAATTCAGGTCACTGTTCTTGGGGACTTCCACCTGCTGAGTTATTTCTCTGGCCCAACTTTTTCTTTTTCAAGTTTTGATAATTGCCTTTAAATATCCGTCTTAGTCACTGTTCTATTACTGTGAAGAGGTACGTGACCAAGGCAACTTTTATAAAGGAAAGCATTTAATTGGGGCTTACTTACAGTTTCAGAGGCTTAGTTCATTGTCATCATGGTGGGAAACATGGCAGCAGTCATGGCTCTGGAGCAGTAGCTGAGAGCTACACCCTGATCCACAGGAAGAGAGAAAGAGACTAGGCCTGGTGTGGGCTTTTGAAACTTCAAAGCCCACCCCCAGTGACATACGTCCTTCAACAAGGCCCCACCTACTCCAACAAGGCCACACCTCCTAAACCATGTTCAAACAATTCCACTCCCTGTTGACTATGCATGCAAATATATGAGCCTAGGGGGTAAATTCCCATTTCAACCACCACAGTACCCAAGAGCATGCTGATGTAGCTTAATTGGATTTCCCCACATTTTACGTCTAGATGTTTCTGCCATTGTGGATGAGGTGCTAGTTCTCACTGTCCCTTGCACCCAATGGAGCCATATCACTATTTTAGACACATTAATATATAGTTTTCTAATACAGCGATTATGAAAATGTGGTTCCGGAAAGGCAGAGCTATTCATGACGCATGGACTTAAATGGAAACCTACAAGTGGAAAACAGACTAGGAATTAAAAGGGAGTACAAACAAGAGTGACTTGTGGGGCTGGGAAGACAATGCAGCCAGTGAAGCATCAGCCATGCAGTGAGAGGATGGAAATTCTGCCCTCCACACCCATGTAAGGGCTGGGCCAGTGGGCAGACAGCCTGAAATCCCAGCCGTTGGGAGGCAGAGAAGGAATCCCCAAAGCAAGGTGGCTAGTGGGATTGATCGGCTCCGAGTTTAAGTGAGAAACCCTGTCTCAGTGTGTAGAATGGAGAGAGATGAAGACATCCACTGTCAGCCTCGGGCCTTCACTTTCATGTGTCTACATGCATACACAGGTGCAGGTACCCCCCCCCCCACACACACACACACATAGAACAACAAAAGATCAACATGCGTACTCTACAAGAAAATGATAATTGCTGGCTCCATGAATAAACCACCACATAGATCACTCTCAAACTCTAATGTCCACAGAACTACCCGGAATCTTGTTTACATGTAGATTGGAATTCAGATCTCGGTAGGACCTGGGATTTTGCATTCCACAAGCTCCAAGGAGCCCTGAGTACTGCATAGCATGAACCATACCAGCAAGAGCAGCTCTGCAGGCTTCCACGTGTTCTCTCTGTTCTCCTTTGCAGAACATGCTCTTCAGAATCATCTCATTCTATCCCATTTCTTACTCCATGCTGAAAAGCAATGTGGCTTCCACCATCACCGTGCACAGTGGGGGAACAGGTCTCTCTTGCACAGGCACAGTGGTAAATATCGACCCAGAACAGAAAGGCGAGGGGCAGCATTCCAGAACATAGAGTGGCTTCCGTTTCTAACATCTTGCTAAAGCCACAAAAGGTGGCGAGACATTTATAAACTTGATGGAGAGCAGGTCAGGTCTGAACCGGATAAACGTCACAAGCTGTAGAATAAGTTGAGGACCACTTTCTCTTTTTCTCACGTGTCTCTTCCTCTGTCCAACTTAGCTGTCAGCATCCCGGAGACACTGGAGATGGAAAGGATGCCAGGGGAACCTCTCCCCTCCCCTGCAATATTTATTTTCCATCATGAGAGAAATCTTCAGCTCTTCCCAGGCAGTGTTGTTCATCATGTTTTATATGAATAAAGGCCAGTCAGCTCTGTGCTGTAGATGATTAGTGACTGATTCATTTATAGCACTTGCTGGTTGCCATGGTATGAGTACTCCCACTCTGGCTGATATCAAGCTCTTGATGTGGCTTTACCAAATTTGGGATTAGAAGCTCTCACCAATTTTGGCTTTCCTAGTCTGCCACAACATGGTTCCTACCGTGGCAGATTATTCTCCGTGCTCAGCTGTACCCTTTACACTCCGGCTCTGAAATTTCTCCCATCAAAACGTGGGTTCTGTATCCCTTTCTCTTGAACCCAGATTTTCCTTGTGACTTCTCTGGCCAGTGCAATGTATCAGAGCAGGGTGTTCAATCGAAGTCTGTGCTTCAGGACACATCACAGAACGTCCCACTTGCTGTTTACGACAAACCACAACCACAAGGGGACAAATCTGGGGTGGCTTCCTTAGACCCAGAACCCATCAAGCAAACATGAGACATCTAAGATGGTCCCAGTGGCCCTAACACCCCTGCATACCTGCCCGACTTGAACTGCCGCAGAACCCGATCACACCAGCAGCCAGCCCATTACGGGTTCTTGTACCACACACCAGGCTGTTGATGTGAGCAACAGACGGTTATAAGCGTTAGGTTAGCAGGTGAACCGGATAAACAAAGTCACTAGTAGATGAGAGAAAAGTCAAAAGCTTCATCAACCACATGCACATGGCTCTCTTTGGATATTGATTGAAATCAAACCAACCATTGAAGCAAGAGGATCATAAAGGCAAGGTCATCCTTGACTACATAGAGAACTCAAGACCAGTCTGGGCTACATGAAGCATTGCCTAAAATAAATTTGCTGGGTGGTGGTGGTGCATGCCTTTAATCCCAGCACTCGGGAGGCAGAGCCAGGCGGATCTCTGTGATTTTGAGGCCAGCCTGGTCTACAAAGCGAGATCCAGGATAGGCACCAAAACTACACAGATAATTCTGTCTTAAAAAAACACAAACACAAACAAACACATAAACATTTTTTATATTTTTAGCTACAGAGGAAAACAAAAGGACATAATAGGGTACCATTTAACTTAGTTACCAACTCTAAATGCTCCATGGAAAACTCCCAGGGCAGAGGAACATCACATTCTCTTGTGACCAGCACTGTCCATCTCTGTGGCCAAATTCCCCCCAAATGCCCTGAACGTTTCTTGCCAGGCCCCAGACCCCACTTTAAGAGTCTGCCACCCTCCAGCATCACCAGGTGAAGCCACAGCCTCTGATGGATTGCTAGGTTATCACCCAACTCTTCTCCCCTCTGACATGGAAGCTCAATTGAAGAGTAAGGTTAATTTCTTTTTTTTTTAAACTGATATTGTCTGCATTGTATTTTATTATGTTAAAAAAAAGTGTAGTGGCGAGTTGGAAGCACATTGAAACAACTTCCTGTCTTTAATATGACACTTATATTAGCCTCAGAATTTCAGTTATATCCCTCAATATGGCATGCTTATACAAGTCTTGAGATAAATAATATCACATTACTTTTGAATTTCATTTCTTTCATTTTCATTTGAGTCATTATGAGTCCAGAGCACTATCAAAACATTCAGGGCCTGCAGCCATTGACCAACTGAATTATGAAAAGAAATGAGGCTTGCGGTTAAAAGAGTTTGTTTACCCATACTTTGATTAAATTCTTACTGACTCTTGAGACAATAAGTTTTGAGTCATTTGGGCCTCAGGTTTACCACCCTTAAGGGTCAGACAGTAGGTGGGAATAATGGCAACTTGGCAGAGTTGGCATTAGTCCTCTGAGAAAGGTGTGAGTGGACCCAGCAGAGGGCTTGGCAGCATGCATACATTAGCAGATAGTGTGGTGGATAACCCTCATTATCAACCTCACTAGTTTTAGAATCACCATGGAAACATATCTCAGGTGTAGCTATGAGGGTATTTCCAGAAACATTTAACTGAGGAAACTCACCCTGAATGTTGATGGCATCATTTCATAAGATCAGGTCTGAGACTGAAAAAAGAAGGAGGAGAGGAAGAGGAAGAGAAAGGAGAAGAAGAGGAAGAGTAAGAGGAAGAAGAGGAAGAGGAAGAGGAAGAAGAAGAAGAAGAAGAAGAAGAAGAAGAAGAAGAAGAAGAAGAAGAAGAAGAAGAAGAAGAGGAAGAGGAGGAGGAGGAAGAAGAAGAAGAGGAGGAGGAGGAGGAGGAGGAGGAGGAGGAGGAGGAGGAGGAGGAGGAAGGGATCCTTCGAGGGTTGGGCACCAGTGTTGGAAGCCAGCTCTGACCTGTTGAAGGGCTCTTGGGGGGAGGAGTGAGGAATGAAGCAGTATTAGACAGAAATATTGGCCTAGACAAAGAGAAAGACAGAGACACACAATAACTTCAGGAGGGCCCTGAGTCAATACCCAATTGCCCTGACTTTATTCATAATGGACCTTTTATACATCAGCAAGAGGAGGGGCAAAAGACCTCCCCGTCCCAAGGTTGAAGTATAAAGTAGCAACAAGTGTAGACCCTTCAAAGCACCTGGCAACCACACCTTTGGCCAAATTATCCTATTACACAGCCCTGCTGGGCAAAGCAAGCTCAGGCTTTCTGAGCTTGTGTAAGTAAGGCCTTACTAGAGACCCTCTGTGGGCTCCCCCACACCAGCATGCATCTTCTTCTGCTTCCTGACCATAGAGACAACGTGACCAGTTGCATCGCACTCCAACCACCCCATGATGCCTCCCACACCAGGGTGGACTGTACCATCAAACTGTGAGCCAAAATAAACCCTTTCTTTGTACTTAGCTTTTGTTAGATATTTTGTCCCAGCAGCAGCAGAAGTTACTATACAGATAGTAACAGTCACTTCCTGTGTCACCTTTAATGGCCCCTGGGCTCCATCTACCTCAGTCTGCAGAGATTTGGGGTCCACTTGAGTGTAGGCTTGTTCTTCAGATGTGGGAAATGCATAATGGCTTACTTGTTACATGGACTGATTTTCTTATCTTGTCTTTTTATTCATATTTCACACAAGAATGGAGTCAAAGTAACTAAACTATATCCCATAGAGTCCTGAAAATTAACACAGTGTGTAATTTGGAAAATTTTGTGGAAATCAAGAGAATAATTCATGCAACTTTGTTGAGTGACCTGGGAGATAAACACATTACAACCCAGACTGCCATTAATGACTTACCTTTATGACTAGACGCATAAGGTCTACATACACCATCCAGTTCTTTTTTCAGCTAAATTCTCATTATTATGTTCATGCTTTTATAGATGAGGGTATTTTGATAATTTTTAAAGTTGTCAACTTTACAATTACGAGAACATTCATTCATTTGTCTTTCTATTAAAGAGCATAAATGGTTATGTGGGGAATGAGTTCAATGTAAATATCTCACACCAAGGGATACATTGTCTTCATTCTAGTGGGAAAATAACATTTCTGGGGCAATACAGGCATTTGAAAATCTCATTTCTCTTGAATCAGGCACTCATAAAGCTTCTACTATCCTCAAAACCCACAGAACACATGCACTTATTGGCTTGAATGGTGCTATTTGCTCATGGCTTCAGTAATTAGTTATAGAATTCTGAACATTTGTATCACTTTTAATCATTCATTAAATCGTTCATTAAATGATTAAGTATGAGGCCACTAAAGATAAAACTTGCTTTCTCAAAGATCCCTGCCTCCTTCCCTCCTCCCTCCTGAGCCCCAGCCCCTAGCCACAGAAGTGACTCCCCTGGTAGACTGAAGACTTGAGGGACTCTCCCTCCATCCTTTCCTATTAGGGCTGTATCTCCAACACTATCCCTTCCACTTTCTGTTCCCAGTTATCTGTCATCTCTCTTCTCACACAGACCTGGCCCATGGGAACACCAGACTGTTAGAAGTTCTTGGGTGGCAAAGGGTTTGGTGTAGGAGCCTCTTCAACTGGGGGAGAGTCACAGCCTCTTTGGAGCTGCCCATTTGCAGGCTAATGTCCTTTTCCATATGAGTCAGAGCAAGGATGCAACCATGTGAGAAGCTGGGGACAGGCTAGGTCACAGCAGAAGGAGGCGCCATTCGTTCACTAAGAACCCATCTCACATGGATACAGTCTCAAAATGTCTTAACCAAACATACAAACACGTTGGCATTAGGATGTGTTGAATGTCGTCACAGGAGGGTATGTAAAGGAAGTATTATAGAAAAGGACAAGCTCAAGGGGCCTCCCTCTGTGCTTGCTGTGGTCAACCATCCACTATCAGCAGATGCCCCTCCCACAAGCCCATCAGCTCCTGTCCCAGACTGCAAAGGGAGAGATCTACACATTGTGTGCACATGTCTTTTCCAACCCGCAGTAAAAAAAAAATCCTGCTTGATTTGTATGTTTGAAATTGCAGTGAATTTTTTAGAGTAAAAACATTTTCAGGATAAGACAAGGAAGGACAAAGGTAAAACATGGCATGTTGTAAGTGGTTTTTACACCCGCCTAAGTACACTCACCTTCAATGCTTTGTGCAACATCTATGAAGAATGATCTATTGCCTTGTGTTGGTGAGGGAAGTGTTTTATATGGTGGTAAATGCATTGACCTACCGTCACACTATGATTAGAATTCAATCCTTGGGTCTGCCTTCCAAGTGTCCTGCAAAGGAAATCGGCTTTGAATTTATATTGAGATTAACATAAACTAATGGGTCTTAAATTATGGAAGATATTAAGAGCCTAAAAGAAACCAGGCTGAAGATGAGTGAATATTTGAATACTTTTCTATTATTATTTTCATTATTATTAATGATGCCCCCCTCCCCAGCGGTATATTTTAGGATATTGGTGAGCCTTGACCTTGAATGCCATCTCATCGTGACATTATTAACTGTCAGAAGAATTGATAGCTTTTAGAAAGCGCAGCAAGGATGAAATTACCTCCCAGCCAGAACATGGTTGACAGCACAGATGGATGAGAGGGATAAGAAGGGCCACAGAGGAGACCTCAGGCTTCTGCCCCTCCAATCTCCCCAATCAACCCAGCTAAGCACCAGTTAGCGTCTGTTTTCCCTGTAATGACTGATCTCTAACGCTAGGAGGAGCTAAGGG